GTAAAACACAACAATGGATGAATTTCAAAATAATTATGCTGAATGAAAGTAACTAAGGCAAAAAAATAAGTATTTACTATATAATCCCCTTTATAAAATTATAGAAAATGAAAACTTACCTACAGAGTCAGAAAGCAAATCAGTGGTTGACAAAAGACAGGTGGCAGAGAGGGATGGCAGAGAGGAACTACAGAAGGGCAGAAGGAATGTTTTAGAGGTGATGTTCACTGTCTTGGTTGTGCTGGTTTCACGAATACATGCATTCTATTAAATTGTACACTTTAAGCCCAGGAGTTTGAGGCTGTAGTAAGCCGTGCCTGCACGCTACATTCCAGCCTGGTGACAGAGCAAGATGCCATCTCTAAAAAAAAGTTTTTAAAAAAACTGTACACTTTAATTACCTGCAGTTTATTCTATGTCAAGTATACCTCAACAAAGCTGCAAAAAGGCCAATTGTTGGGGGAGGGGAAGGGAAAGCCGAAAAATAAAAATACATGTGTCGGCGGGACACTGGGGCTCACACTTGTAATCCCAGTACTTTAGGAGGTTCAGGTGGGCGGATCACAAGGTCAAGAGATCCAAGACCACCCTGGCTAACAGACTGAAACCTCTGTAGGACTATTGCGCCCCACAGGGTTGTGGGGTGTGCATTATGCTGTGCTGAAGTGCAGGATTCGAGAAGTAGAGAGACAGGACACTGAAGAACTGGTGAAGAGCATCTGGACTTGGGGGACCACGCCACCTATGAGCGAAGACAGACGACGCCCTGAACGTGCAGAAGTGCCTGTATTTATTAGGTACAGGCAGGGGGAAGGGTTTTAAGTGCGATCATCATCTATAGGCTTAGTGATAGGGCATACACAATGACGTCAGTAACAAGCGAGGGGGCCACCTCATTATGTCACCTGGGCAGAGAGGGGGGCCGGGCCGTGTGCAGTAGTAAAGGGTCATGTACAGAAAAGGGGTCCACCCCCATTAGGTCACCAAGGCAAGGAGGTGGGCTGTGTGCAACAGGTATCGTGCATAACACTTTTTATCTGGGGGCTGGAGACTTTAAAGGGTTTCTAATAGAAGGATACTGTAAGCCAATGCAGTGGGAGCTGACAGACCTGTGCTCTTAAGATATTTATGGGAGGATGATTTGAGCTAGCACAGAAGCGAGAAAAGAATGACAGGGTGTGTAGCCGCCAAGACTGGTCATAGCAGAGGGCTTCTTCTCCCTCGGTTATTTCCAGGATCTCAGGCCTGAGGCCTACTTTCCACAGGAACTGGATGCAAGGTACTACAACTCCTTTATCAGGAGGAGAGGTTCTTGCTCCAAGCGTGGGTCTTTGGTTCTTGTCCTGGTCTGGCTGTTTTCCCATGTATTGCTTCTATTCTGTGACTACTCTAGGTATTCCTCCTACTACAACCTACTATATGGTTATATAGAAGGACTATATAAATCAGCACTAAATCTGTCAGTACAGCTCTGACTACAATACCTATATGATTATATAGAAAGATTATATGGAACTAAGTATGATTATATATACAAACTAGCTATAGTAAGCAGTGAGTTATACTTTAGGCACTAATTGTGCCCGGGGTCTGCACAGTTCTCCTTCCTCTGTGCCCATGAGGGGTATTACCCACAAACCCCGTCTCTAATAAAAATACAAAAATTACGTGGGCATGGCGGCGCGTGCTTGTAGTCCCAGCTACTCGGGAGGCTGAGGCAGGAGAATCGGAGGTTACAATGAGCCGAGACTGTGCCACTGCACTACAGTCTGAGTGACATGCTGATACTGCATCTCAAAAAAAAAAAAAAAAAAAAATACATGAGTCTAGGAGGAGCAGTATCCTGAATCTGAAAAGGGAAGAGAAAAAGGTCAAGAAATAATCAAAGAGCATTCCTAAAAGTGAAGAACATAAGACTCCGACTCAGAGTGAGCCAGGTACTAATCAAAATGAATCTAAATTTAAAATATATACCTAGGTATCTAATAATGAAAGTTTACACTATCAAAAAAAAAAATCTTTTTAAAATCCAGAAAGAAAAACTGATCACAAAAGAATGAAAGAATACGTGCATAAAAATTAAGGTCTTCTGGGTTTCTACACTAGCACTGACATTTAACAGCTGAGTGACCTTGGGTATGATACTCAACCCTGCTGTGTTTCCATTTTCTCATCTGTAAAAATAGTAATAATAAACATAATAATTTTTTTTTAGATGGAGTCTCGCTTTGTCACCAGACTGGAGTGCAGTGATGAGATACTGGCTCACTGCAACCTCTACCTCCCAGGTTCAAGTGAGTCTCCTACCTCAGCCTCCCAAGTAGCTGGGACTACAGAACCGTGTCACCATGCCCAGCTAACTTTTGTATTTGTAGTAGAGACAGGGTTTCCCCATGTTCGCCAGGATGGTCTCAATCTCTTGACCTCTTGATCCACCCATCTCAGCCTCCCAAAGTCCTGGGATTACAACACCGAACCCAGTCAATAAACAAAATAATAATTATAATAACAATATTGGTGGTCCCTAAATATCATGCTTCTATTATTTTTACGTAACAAAAATAATTATAACAGCAGGAGTCATGTGGTTTTGAGGATCAAACAAGTTAATAAAGTGTTTAAAACAATGGTAAGTGCTTTATAAGTGCTGGTTAAATAAATATATCACATTAACACCAAACTTGTCAGCAACAACACTAGATGAGAGAATACAAAAGAACAATTCTTTCAAAGTTTTGAGGGAACCTAATATTAAAACTCGAATTACTGGCCCAGTGTGGTGGTTCACACCTGTAATCCTAGCTACTTGGGAGGCTGAGGCAGGAGAATAGCTTGAAACCAGGAGGTGGAGGATGCAGTGAGCCGAGATCGCACCACTGCACTCCGGCCTGAATAACAGTGCTAGACTCTGTCTCAAAAAATAAAAAAATAAACACCTCAAATTCCATGCCTAGCTAATCATCATTCACATGTATAAGGGTAGAATGGAGCTATTTTGGTGCCTACAACGACTCAGAAATCTCACAGTCCACACAGTATTTCTTAAGAATTAAGAATAAAAGCTAAGAAAAGGATTTAAATGAAGATGGGCCGGGCGCCATGCCTCAAGCCTGTAATCCCAGCACAAGGGAGGCCCAGACAGGAGGATCACGTGCGGTCAGGATAGTTAGAGACCAGCATGGCCAACATGGCAAAACCTGTTATCTACCAAAAATAAAAAACTAAAAAGGCCAGGTGCAGTGGCTCATGCCTGTAATCTCAGCGCTTCGGGAGGCTGAGGCAGGCAGATTTCCTGAGATCCGGAGTTCGAGACCAGCCTGGCCAACATGGCAAAACCCCATCTCTACTGAAAAAAAAATTAGGCCTGGGGGCTTATGCCTGTATTCTCAGTTGTTCAGGAGGCTGAGGCAGGAGAATCACTTGAACCCAGGAGGCAGAGGCTGCAGTGAGCCCAGATAGTGCCATTGCACTCCAGCCTAAAAGACAGAACAAGATTCTGTCCCTAAACAAATAAATGAAGGAAGATGATGATCCAGAAAACAGTACCTCCCAGTGAAGAAAAATATAATAGTAATAATAACAAAATCCCAGATGCAGCTTTCCAGCAAGCCTACAGAATAGCCAGGTATGACAGCAACAAAAATAAATAAGACCTCAAGAAGATGACTTGACAGACTACCTGGTGAAATAGAGTTTGGGTGCAGAAAGACGCAAAGTGGAAAAAGAAAGGCAACCTCAGAAAAAAGACAAAAGCAACACACACACAAAAAACAGAATCACAGTACATAACCTGAATCTACACAGTGTCAAAAGTCTGGAATAAAAAAGGCATATTACTTAGTTATAAAGCTTACCAATAGAAAAAAATATACTGATTTACTCCATTAAAAGTATAGAGGGCGGGCTAAATAAGTGACTAAATCCTCTATTATAGCTAGAATTCAACAGATGTAAAACTTATAAAATGTAAGTATGCTATTTAGAGACAGAACCAAAACAGTCAAAGGTGGAGAAATGGGATGGGAAGGGGTAGAGCAAGGAACTGTTGTTGCTTTTTGTTTAAACCACGTTCAAGTAAAGTTCAATAAAGTTCGATTAAAATTTTACAAAGGTAACACAAGCATTCGATTTAGCAGCTGCTCTTTGAGAAAAACACAAGAAATAGTGGGAATGTCACCAAAACAAGGCTTTTGGTTCCTCCTTGTACAGAAGCCAAGAAAGTTTAAAAAAAAAGAAGTTCACAGTGACAGGCGAGCACTGCCTTCCAAAACCAAGGAGTGAGTGCATGATGTACCCCCGAACCTTTCCAATCCAGAAATCCTAATTAACAGTACAAAATCGACTTCGCACAGAATGACAAAAACAATAAAAACTAAACTCAATGATGGCCAAAAGTCTAATATATTAGCTAACAACAAAAACTGTACTGCTCGAGTACATCCAGTAATCTTGAAAATTTCAACAAGCACCCACCGTATCCAGTAGGCAGGGCACACAGAGAAGGGCTAACTTCTCAGAATTCTATAGAGCTCGACCTGGAAAGCAGATATGCAGCTTTTGAAAAGCTCGCCGCCAGGGATTCTTTTTTAAAGTTGTTTAAAAGCTGGCCTCAGAATCCATGCACCCCTAACCTGCTAGCTCAACCGACCTGGCGCACATTGCTCAAAAGCTACAGCCTCTGCACCTCTTCCGAGACCCAAAATGCGCGGTCTCAGGAGGAAACAAAGCAGTGGGCGGGGCCTTCCGGTGCCGGGAAAAAGCTGGCAGGCGAGGAGCTGCTCTTCTGCTAGTTGGAACCGGCTAGGCCCCTGCCCCGCCGAAGGTCCCGAATCCCACTGCCCGCATCTCACCGCATGTGGGGCTGCGACTGCTCGCGGGGCTGGCAGCGGGGCGCGAGCTTCGGCAAGGCTACCCGGGGGCTGGTGGCGGAACCCAAGGGCCGCGGCCCAGAAGTGCCGGGACCCCGGCTGGAGCGTGGCGGCCGCCTGTCGCCTCCTCACCTTCTCTTCCACGCAGTTGACTATGATGGACGGGTACTTGCGGCTGAGCCAGCGGAAGAACGCCGGGACTCCCATAGCTGCACACGGCTGGAGGCGGCGGCCTGCCGGCTGACGAGCGTAACCAAAGAGACGAGAGCAGCGGCTGCGAGCACAAGCACTTCCTCCCACGTGCACGCGGGCAACCGGAGGTGACGTCACGGCGCCGCTGCCGGGGAAGCTGGGAAGGAGGTTCGGCTGGGTGAGGGAGCGGCGGAAAAGGGCGTCGCCAGGCTGCTCGTCGGAGGTGGAGTCCCGCGCGGACCGAGTGGTGAAAGTTGCGGTTTGCCCTCGGTGGTCCCAGCTCCGGAGCGTGAGGCCGAGCGCGTCTGAGTCACGGGACCTCAGGGCGACTGCTCTGCCGCGGCTCCGCCAGGATCTCCCCAGCCCCAGCCCTCCGGCTCCCTGGGCATGGAACCTCTGCGCTCTGCAGACCCTGGGGAAGCCCTCCCTTGCCCGTTTGATCACCTCTTTTTTGGAAGAATATGTCTTCTTTTGCCCCCATTCTCACCCATCTCAACCTAGGGCAGAATCGAAGCATCCAAACTCAGTCGTTATTTCCATTTCCTAGTTTCTCCTGGTTTTGTGCCGCAGTACGTACTCCGACTATCAAAAGGAGCATTTTAAAGTATTTTACAGTAATAACGACTGGTTTGCAGAAACAATTTGCTTGTTATTCATGCAAATAAATAATTGTAATAGTTATCGAATGAAATGTTGCCGGCATTTGGCATCCAATACAACCTTCCAGCTACGTTTATGGGTGTAAAATAATTGTTAATATGATTCTCTAGCATTTACTGAGCGTTTACAGTGTGTCAAGGCATGACTAGGATTGTCCTATGTAATCATCACTTGAGCCTTGTGAGGGTACTGTTACCACCCTCGTGTAAATGATAAGAAAGCCAAGTTATAGAGGGGTTAAGTCACTTATGCACATTGCTTTCTGTTTCAGTTCAAGCAAAGGTCATTTTTAATTCGTCCACATTCTAACGTGATACTTTTATCCTTTGTTTTCTGGTCGCAAATGAATTTTTTTCATATGGAAGGATAGGTCTGGAAGAGGAGAGGAAGGCCACAGCTGATATCTGGATTATGATATGAAAAATACATAGAAACTATGATGTTTTTAAATATCCATCAATTCATTTTTAAGCCCCATTAACAACGTAATTATCATAGGAAAAAAATCATGAAGTAATAGAAATATACAAAATAGACTGGGTGTGGTGGCTCACGACTGTAATCCCAGCGCTTTGAGAGGCCAAGGCAGGCAGATCACCTGAGTTCGGGAGTTTGAGACCAGCCTGACCAACATGGAGAAACCCTGTCTCTACTAAAAATAAAAAATTAGTTGATCATGGTTCACATGACTGGAATCCCAGCTACTTGGAATGCTGAGGCAAGAGAATCGCTTGAACCTGGGAGGCAGAGGTTGTGGTGAGCCGAGATCATGCCATTGTACTCCAGCCTGGGCAACAAGAGTGAAACTCTGCTCAAAAAAAAGAAAAGAAATACACAAAATATCACCAATTGGATATTCCTCATCAAAACTGAAAAGAAGCAGGATCTGGATGACCAAGTGTATGATACTTTATAACATATTTTTCAAAATAACAAGATTGGTTGTCCCTAATGTTACTGGACAAAATGGGAAAAGGAAGGATGAGCTCAGGGATTCCAATTGCCAGCTAAAGTATAATATAAGTGACCTGAAACTTTCTGCCCTGAACACGCTTATCTCCAGTAGCTGCAGAGCCACGATTGTTAGAAATCAACTCCAGGCCGGGCGCGGTGGCTCAAGCCTGTAATCCCAGCACTTTGGGAGGCCGAGGCGGGTGGATCACGAGGTCAAGAGATCGAGACCATCCTGGTCAACATGGTGAAACCCCGTCTCT